GACGTCCAGCATAGATTCCTTCGGACTTGGCCCATCGTCTCAAAGATATCGGCTTTTGGCTAATCCCGGTAGTCCTTCCCGCTAGAGACTTCAGTTTAGCTTTCCCTAAGGTTACGATCCACCATCTCCGAGATACTGTCACGAACCACTCCTTCAGCGGACAAACTCCGTATCCCCAGGATACTGCTCTGATTAACTGCTTACTACTGGTACTGCAACTGCTACTAGCCACATTCATCGCTTCTCTTTTATCCTCCCGTCAACAAGGCGAAAGAATCTAGACTGACCTGTTTACCACGTCCAGAGTCATCCCGCATCCGGCGGACGTCAGAACCAAAAAAAAAGATCCCCGAGAAAAACCGTCATAAATTCCCCAATACCCCATAGAAAATATTCCTACTATCCTCAATAAATATTAATAAATTTAGTTACATAGATTTTACCCCAAAAATCCCTTTTTAAACGACTAATTCAAAATTTCTAAAAAAAAATATTATTACGATTGAATTTAAACTTTACCATAGTGGTGCCATCTACAGACAAATAACCTATCTTTAAAAGTATTGAGAAAAAAAACCTATAATAAATTTCAATTTATTACACATACCTTAGACACCTTAATAAACTATGTTTACTGACTAAATATAGCAACTAAATATAATAATAAAAGCTTGAATAGAAAATTTCTTTGCAGGCTTTCGTGCCAATAATTCGCTAAATTATCATGTTATTAAGGTCTTTAACGTTATGACGGTAACTGGTAGGAAAAATCCATTTAAAGACAATCATTCAGGTGAAAAATGGGTGAATTTCGAAATACTGGTTTTAAGTACTTTAGAAGAATCTTTAGGAGGGAAGTAGCCCTGGCATCCTCTTAGAAAGTGATTACATTTACAATGCGAACGAAACAAGAGTTGAATACTGCCCTTAAACGGGAAAAATCTTTGACCCTAAAAATTATAAGGATTTATATTCCCAAGTAGCTAGGAAAGAAAAAATTACCTCTATTGGTAGTTTTTCCTTACTGAAGAATTCTTTGAGATATTACAGAATCAGAATCTTTCATTGGAAAAAGCGATTCATGAAATGAAACGATGACCGCAGCAACATTTACAAATATATTGCAAATGTTTCTAACCATGGCTAATTAAAAATGCCATCAAATTCACTATTTTGCTTCTTCTGGATAGGTATAAATCTCATATCAATTTGAAACTGAGCAAGTTTTGTTCATCAAAACAAATTTTCTTGTTTAGTTTTCTACCTAATTCATGAAAATCAACCGTTAGATCTTGAAAACAAAAGAATTGTAAAACATTATGACGAGAAAATTTTACATCTATTTTTAATAAGATTAACTAGAGGAGTGTTTCCATATTACTAACTTGAACGATTTTAGTAAATTGTCCGTTAAGGCATACATTTGACAATCACTTCAGATATTTTTTGGAAAAATGAATACCCGGAAGAGTACAAATAGATAATGGTCTGAAAATGAGGAAAATTAGTTATTTCAAGTCAAATTTTAATTTCCCACCAGCAGTCTGAAAACTGGAAATTGAATAAATTTTAATTCAAGTTAACCCGAAGAAGTCTATAAGTTCATTATTACATTTCTTCCAATTCTGTTATCATTTGAAGATCTTCTCGTGAGACAGCTGTAAATCACAAGGAAAAAAAAAGTTTGGAAAAAAAACTTGAATAAGAAAAATAAATAAAATACAGCCAAACTGCGTACTAAAGAAAATATACTGACCAAGGTTATTCTCTCATTAAATCAGAGTACTAAATCGAAAATTTTTAAAGCTATAAAGCATAGAAATTAAATAGAAAATGCTTAAAACTGGTGGCGCCTTTTATTGTTTTTGTAAACTCGGTAAAATGTTTAAAACTAAAACTTTAAGCCATTCTTCGTTTAAAGGAC